TAATACCACAACAATAAATTGGATCTTGTCAAGATTAGCGAACCCACTCAAGGCATGGTTTGCTATTCTTTACTACATAAGATGATGATTGGGTTATTATTTACACGAGAATAATCAGGTTCGCTGTTCTAGACATTAACATTTTGGTACAAGTAACTTTAAGGGTCAATAGCTGATTTTTATAGATTGGTTTTAATTTATTAATAATTCATATATCCAGGAACCCTCAAGATGGATAGATCTATGTTCACGGAGGTTGTGAAGCCATTACTTGGGGAGGATAGATTACAAGTGATTGGCTGAATGAAGAACAAATCACTTTTTCGACAATTAAAATGTGAATCATGTAATTTATTTATGAAGTGGACAAAGTGTAGTGCCTCTCTGGACGATGTGTGGAAGTGACAAATGAAAGAATATTCACCACGGTATACGTTTATTATAGGTTCATGTGAATGGAACGAAATACGGTTAACAGATTATTGGGGTTCTGTAATGCAATCACTATACAATATTCTTTCAATAATTAAGTTATTTTTTTTAACTATTTTTATATTCATTTATATTGACAACATTGCTTTTAAGAACATATTTTGTCAATGGTTTACTATTCTTGACATGGGGATAATTGGGTTCGCTAATCTTGACACGATCCCAATACTTTATTTATCAAATTTATACCAATGTGACTAAAGGCCGAAAATGGGAATGGAAATGTTTGGTCATCCTTGTATTATCTTTTATTTAACCTAGCTAGATAATATTTATGACCTAATTGTTCTTAACACCAATAGTTTCCATTACAGTGACGTGGGGTTTCAGGGTTTAAATGAGCAATTGATTTGCCCACGCCAATAAGCTTAATGGAAACACTCGTGTAATTTTAACAAAGCCAGATAAGGAATTCATTTACACGCTTGAAGTTGTGTCAGTAGCTCGTTTCTGGAAAATAAATCAGAATTTAAAAAAAAAATTATTTGTAGTTCCACTGAATTGTCATGAAGAGGAAATGTTCATACAACAGATTAAATCATCTGACGCAAAATATTAATAAAACATCTTTAAAACAAAGGTAAGAGAGTTCGTTGTCCATAGAAGAGTTATACGGTTGCATAAATACAAAAGTAGACGAAGAGAGAGAGCGGGTCATTAAAAAACAACAACAAAAACACTCAACATTTTTGTTATGCTTTTGTTTTAGCAGCAACATTTTTTTATACGCTTTTTAACCGACGTTTAAATTTTATTTTTATTTTGTTTTGCAAGCCGTATGCAATGCTCGGAGCCTATGTGCTATAAAGGTTTTGGGGGGAATAACTTATAATTCTATACTTTTTAGCTCTACCTGAAAGCGAAGACTAATAATTAATCAGGTGTTCGGGCGGCCTTTTCTCAATATGCCTTGATTTGAGCCTTGAGGGCCCCAATATAGACCAAAGTCGCTGGCTAGTGAAGATCACTTTTCATTCATGCATCGTCGAGATGATAGTCAAAAGGATGAGAGGATGGCCTTAAAAATATTTGCAGCTGAGAACAACAAAAGACTACCAATTCTTCTATAACGAACCTAAAAGAGACGCGGAATCAGACTTTCATCACATTGTTGTTACAAAAACAACTATTTCGTCTTTTCTCAGTTACCCACCCTGATTTTAAACCTTCACTTCCTCGCAGTCCGATCTAAACACGGAAAAGGCTATGGAAGTAAATCCATACAGAAAGCCCGGAGTGGATCCCCAAAGGCGGTTGGCTGTCAACACTGAAAACTTTCTGGAAACTCTTACAGCCGCAATAATGCCTTTTTTCTTTCTTACTTGGCCGAGAGTCGGGGGAGGATGTATTGCAGTCTGGGGAACGCACAACCTTCATATCTTATTGCCGAGGCCTGCATCCTGGAGAGGTTACTCCAGTCTCACTACCAAAGGACTGGAACACGGCGCTACCATTATCTTGCAAGATAAACGGATGCCTATAGGTATCTCCAAGGACTTACTAAAGACGCATTTTAAATAATTTAAATGTCTTCTTTTAAGTTAAATTTTGGTTTTATTTAAAATTTATTTTATTATTTTTCACAGATTAGCTTTAGGTTAATCTGTGAAAAAAGAAAAAAAGTATTTTCCCTTATTTAAATAAGGGTCTTTAGTCATTTTAAAAATATTAGCAACGGTCATTCATCACTCATCGAACCGGATTATTTATGAGAAATGAAAACAACAAATTTAAATATCTCTTAAAAATTCAATATTTATCCAAGGGATGTATTTCAAAGTGTTTAGGGAAGTTCTAGTTGTGTTTAAGTTGGAAAACACGTGTCTCCTGGTATATGACGGAAAAAAATGGCGGACTCAAATGTGAGTCCGGGTAATAAATGACGAAAGTAACAACAAAGCTATTTATAAAAAAACCCCGATAATGTCTGCATTAACAAAACAAAGGTATACATAAACAAATGAAGATTGTTGCGTGTAACAAAACAATGAACATGAATGAAAACATTTAAAGACTAAAGAATGTGTAGTTTGGTGTAGGAGAAAATCCTAGAGAAAATGAAATGAAAGGTGCGTTTGCATGTGTGTGTGTGTGCGCGCGCGTTCCCCAGTGGGGAAAACATTTTCCTCGTCCGACCTACATCTTACCGTCCCCAGGTGAAATAGAAAAAGAAAGAGAATGACAGAGAATATCACTGCCTATTTATAAGCTTAGAGATCATCCCTTAGCGGCAGTATTTTTTAGGAAAGTAACTGGGGTAACTCCACAAAAGCAAATTAGTAAATTTAATGATTAATTAACTGGATTTTGAAAAAAAAAATTTAATTTGAAACATAGCGAAAATAACATTTATTTACTCTCTGTAACCCGTGAGCTGTCAACGACAGTAGTCTTCTACTGTCACCCACCCACTAAATAAATAAATGATCATAAAAGTGAATTAAGTATGGAGTAAATAAACTATTAGAATTCTAGAGACTAGTATTGTTTATGTTTTAAAATAAATTATCTTTAACCGTATATAAACAATAGTTTATGAATATAAGTTTTTATTCTGTAGGCTTTTATAAAACTTAGTAGAATGAATAATTTTATTTTTATACTACAATAGTACTATAAAAACTAAAAAGGTATTTAAATTAAAGAATAGTTCAATGATATTTTTGACTTTTACTCGTTGCATTTAATTTTTTTATTATGTTTATACATATTTGATGCCATAAAATATTTAATTACTCCCAATTCCGATTTTTAAGATACTTTTTAAAAAAATTATTTCACCACAAGCAAGGCAGTAAAGCCACTAAGACACAAGGGGGTCACTGAGTGTGAAAGAATAAGAAAAAAGAGAAACGTCATTAGGGAGCGAAAAGAATAAAAGAAGACTAAGAGGAATCAAAAAGACATAATAGAAGATAACGATTGACATTACATTTAAATTTGTGAAGATCTGCTATAAAAAAAAATGGGAAAAATTGATAAAGACATTGAAGTCACGCTGTTAATTGATTGCCTTCATATTATTGAATTAGTTCTTTTTTAACTTCCGTAGAAAAATAATCTAACAGTTGCAAAAATAAAAAAAAATGATTTAAAAAAAATGTTCACATTCGAAAACGGCATTAAACTACATTTTAATAAGAATAAGAGTGTCATTGGGTGTGGTGATGTTTTTTTTTTAACCAATCTTATCATTTTCAAAAACTTATTTGAGGCAATGACAAAAGAAAACCCCAAGACAAGACTCTTCTTAGTCTTTTACTCAATATGAAATTTGCAAATAAGCATTTACTTAAATATCAAAAATTATTTTTTTACAAAACTAAATTGTAGAAAAATATCAAACAACCTTTCACATCATTTCCGTTGTGTGTGTAGGAAATTCAGTTGTCCAGGTATTTTTATATTAAAAATCTGAACGTCCGAATTCCAAATAAAGAAAACCTGTTAAAGTCATTTGTATTTACAAACATACACGAGTTCACTCCATAATGAAATGTTGAATGTGTTAAAATTTAAATTATTCAACATTTTAACAAAAAAACAAAAAACAAACTCAAGTTGATGTCAAAAATCCCCGCAAAACTTTGTTGATTTATGAAATAACTGATATGTCTTTTACTTTTCTAATTTGTATTTATTATCATTTTTCAATTTTTCTAGAATTGTTCACCTATATTGCATATAATCCATTATTGTACATCATTAGTTTAAAAAATAAAATTTGTATTTCATATGAAAATTGAGATGTAGTAGAGTGGGGGGGTGTCATATTTTCGAGGGGAGGGGGCATGAAACTTTCGGACCAGCTTGACACTACACACAGAATGTAAATAATTTTAATGAACTATTTTTGGCAAGGTTCGAGACGAATTTTCAGTTCATGAGTGATATTGTATTTTTTTAACTTAAATAACATACTACAATGATTTTGCTTTCTGTAAAAAAAATTTGCGAATTCCCCCATTACTCAGAAAAATGTTCATTGTTCACGATATATCGGGGGTGTAAAAGTAAAAACTGACTTCACTTAATTACTTAATAAAATATTTCCACTAAGTTTTCTAAAATCACGACCTATTCAACATAAAGTTCATTCCTTACTGAAGCAGATAATTTCGGATAATTTCTGATTTTTGGTATTTTTTTTAAAACTATGTGTTCCGTTTTTTTCTTTCATTATCGAAAGTGCGCATTTAAAAATGTGATACCTGAAAAAAAAAAGTTAAATGAAATGCTACATTTTAAAACTTAGTTAAGCTTAAGCATCCCGTCAAAGCCGAATTTAGAAAAGTTTTAAATCTTTTGAAGTTAAACAGGATTGAACAAAATAAAATAAATAATCCTAATTATATGGGTGCCATGTCACTTTGCCGTGAGCGAACTCGTTCAAATTCACCATTGCAGTGATTTTGATTTGCGTTGTGCTATCACCGGACCGGAAGTGACGTTAGAGAGACGCTTGGTATGGCGCCACACGTGATATCCAACCCGGCCGGGTAAACAAGATGGCGGAACCGGACAGCCGCTCACTGTCAGTGCCTGACACAAGTAAGAAAAATTGTAGCGATGTCAAAAATGGCATCGAAACCGAAAAGAAGCGTTTACCCGAGAGGAAAGGACAGAAGGCATTTTGTTGTGTCCCTTTTTGCCATAATTCATCACGTAAGAACCCCAAACTGCATTTTCACTCTTTCCCCAAAGAGTACAAAGTTATTACTTCTGGGGAACTTGCTGGTCAGAACTTGAGACAAGTTTGGGTAAATAAGATTAAAAGAGACGAAAAAGAACGGAACAATTTTCGGTAAGTTTATGTTTAAAAAAAAAGGAAAATAATATTTAAGCTATTGCAGACATTTTTTAAAAGTTTTAATATTTTAATGGTTAATGTTCACTAAAGTTATAATTAATTTTTTAAAACTTTTTTTTTACTTAAAAAATAAAAACAAAGCAAACAATTAGACAGGAGAAAACTCCTTTCCTTATTTAAGTAAACTTCGAAATTTTCATTTAATTTACATATGTAAATATTGATTTAGTGCTTATGATACTTGTTAACGATTGCCTTAAAAATTTAAAAGAAATTTAAACCAAATTATAAAGAAATAATTGATAAGTTGCAACAAAATAATGCTAAATTTTAAGATAATTATTAATAATATAGCCCATTCTGGGTATGACAACAAACTACATCCAGCAGCAAGGCTTCTGAGATTTTGAGGAGTGTGGAACCATCTCTTAATTTTTATTGTTTCCAGGTCTCCCCTGATAAGGAGTGGTAGCACTTGTTAGGGTCCCAGCTATGGGCAAATAGTTAACCCCCAAACTGCTGTCAAAACACTATGAAAGTATAAACATTTTTATAGTAAAGATACCAGTAATACATTTTCATAGTAAAAATACTACCAACAATACATTTGAAAACAAAAATAAAAAAAAAATACCAGCAGTACATTTTTTGAAAGGAAATTACTAATGCTCCCAAGAAAATTAAATTTTGGCATTAAATGACCCATAAGGATGTTGATATGTTGGTAAACAAACAAAAATCTAGCATTTTGCAGATTAAATTAAAATGAAGATTTTTACGATAAAAACTAGTCTCATCAAACACTCTCATATTCCATAAGTGTCATATTTGCATAAATAGTTAATTTATTATTATGGGTCTGAGGTAGTATTATATATTGTTTAGGCTATTGTCTTGATTTTTGTTGTATTAAAAGCAAGTAAAATGTAGACAATAATGTGAGTTTCTAAAATCTTAGTATTTCAGAAAATGATTCCGCTGAGGTCTAAGATTAGGGTTGTCAAATTTGCTTGAAAGAAAACCAGTCATTTAAATTTAAATGTTTTCTAATTTGTATATTAATTATATATGTTAATTGAGATTATATTATGCTATGGAACAATCTAATGAAAATAAATATTGGTAATACAGATATATTGTTTAAATTAATAAATTCAATAAGAGATATTTAAAGTATCATGATAAATTCAATGCAGACAGGACATTGGATAAAATCATTAAATAGAGGACTTGCATACATACATACATATATATATATATATATACACACACACATATATACATAGTGCGATGGGTAAATTTTCATCTAAATTATACAAAAATCAAAGTAACACTGACATCTCATTTTAACAGATATATTTACCAAAATTACACAAAAGTATCTTGAAATATTGAAGAGTACATTTATTCAATAAAATTGCTGCTGGCTTCAACCATGTTTTCCAGATGACTTCAGAATCTCCTGCAACTCTTCTGGATGGCTTCCTTGTTTAAGTTGGTGAATGCTGCCTTAATCATTGTCTTCAGTTCATCTTTAGTGTTACAAGAAGATTTGTTGGTCTCTCGCTCAACTGTGCCCCACACATAATAATCTAAGCGGTTACAGTCTGAGGAGTTAGCCAGATGTAAGGGGCGATGTGGTTGCAGAAATTGACTGACAGCCATGACTGGGTTTACCTGTTTGTGTGATATGGCACAGGGTCATGTTGCCAGACATGTTCTTTCAGCAGCAACCCTCTTGACCCAGGTAGCACTACCTCTTCAAGGCACTTGATTTAGATCTACGTGTGAGTCTGAGGCCCTCACTAACAAATTTAGGAGTTCTTTTCTTATCAGAATGATCAGAGTGAGTTTTCTGAGCTGCTGTACCTTCATAATCACCATTAAACTCCTCCAACTCTTTCCAAATCCTCTGCACTGTCCTCAGATTGATACCCGAACACTCTGAAATATACATATTGGAGCTTCTGCTGTGAATGCCAAGCAGTACAGCATGTCATTTCCTAATTTCTAGCAGAGTGTCATGGTGCTCTTTTTCTCAAAGATGGTGCCCAACTGACCCTACTATACTATGCAGTCGACAAAATCAAAAACAAACAATGTGCAAAATGAAAAAATATAAAATGGCGACAATTTACCCATCTCACCCTGTATATATTGTTTTTATTTTTATGTATTAAGTCCGACAGTTAATATATTTTCTGTTTATACATTATGTTTGTAGATATAATTTATTTAAGCAAATGCTCTGTTTTTTAATTATAAGTAAAATATACACATGCCATCACACAAATATATGAATCACCATGCATGTATAGATATAAATACATGTATATTTACACACTGTTATATGCACATATATATGCACACGTTTTCTCCTCCTAGTTTTTCCTTTATTTTATTAAATCCTTTTTTGTTAACAACAGATTTCCAAATTTTTATATATATTCTTGTTCCTTCACTTTTTCTTTTCATTTTATTTTATTTGATAATATTTTATTATTATATATTCCCTTTGCTCCATCTTTTTTCTTTCCCTTTTTCTTTTTTCTTTTTAATCACATCATATTCTAACTAAACCATAGTCCCGTCTTTCGACACTCAACCATGTGATCTGCCAATTTTTGCTAAACATGAGACATATTTCCCTCTTCCCAACTTATAAATCAATGATTACAATTTCACTCCCCCATGATACACACTAGTAACAATAGACCTGC